TTGGTCTGAAATAGAAACTGTGAGCCAAGTAAATCATTGCTCTTTAAGCCGTTTTCCTCAGATTTTTTTTTGTCACAGTGAAGAAAAAGCTAAAAACAGCTAGCATACCTGTTTCTAGGCACAACCACATCATGAAAGTTTGGTCACACTGAGTTCTAAGCAGACAGCTTTGATAAGTTTAGAAATCTCCTGCAATTTTATCTAGTCTTTTTTTAAAAAGATTTTTATTTATTATGTATAGTATTGTGCCTGCATGTATGCCTGCAGGCCAGAAGAGAGCACCAGATCTCAGTATATAGATGGTTGTGAGTCACCATGTAGTTGCTGGGAAATGAACTCATGACCTTTGGAAGGGCAGCCAGTGCTCTTAACCACTGAGCCATCTCTCCAGCCCTTTTAAAAAAGATTTTATTTATTATGTATACAACATTCTGCTTCCATGTATATTCCCACACCAGAAGAGGGCACCAAATCTCATTACCTGTGGTTGTGAGCCTCCATGTGGTTGCTGGGAATTGAACTCAGGACCTCTAGAGAGCAGTCAGTGCTCTTAACCTCTGAGCCATTTAGTCTTTAACAACATTTTTCCTGCTATATCCTAAAAATAGGTATTCAGTAACAAAAATATTGGTGAGATTAGTCTGTGTATTGTCTACATGGAGGAACAAATTATTACCTTCAAAAAACACTAAATTCTTTTCATTGACATGTGATGTAAAGACTGGAGAGTACCATATGCTACCACAAAATATACCAAACATTATAGTGGAAAGAGGTTTCTCAGTCTCCACAGATGAAAATCAGATAAGAGGTTTTCAGAGGGAGAGGTGGCACTAGATATAGAGGCAACAAATATCACATTCTCTTTCCTTTTTGGATCCTAAATATATATATTTGTGTGTGTGTATGTGTGTATATATATATATATATATATATATATATATATTTGTGTGTGTATGTGTGTATATATGAGTGCATGATTGTTTATGTTGTACAAATGTGTTTATGTATTTACGCATATATGAAAACAGATGAGAGGTTACAGCAAAATATATAACAGAGGACAAGGAAGGAGAAATGAGGATGGTTAGTGGATTGTTTAAAATATGTGAAATACTTTTATTATATTTGTATACAATGAATACACATTAATAAAGAAATATAATGTGAAGCAAGATTGTTTATACAGCAAAGGTATTTGCCACAAACTTTGACATCAGACCTGAGTTTGATCCCACGACCCACATGAAACGGAAAAAATATCAAATCCAAATTGTCATCTGACTGCATTTGTCCACCTACATACATGTACACAAGCATATATACAAGCACCAAAATGTAATTAACTAAAATATAATTTAAAAGAAAATTTATGAAAAAGAAAATACTAAAAAATGTCCCTCAGTAAAGATGTAAGAAAGTCCTCTATAGGCAAAAAAAAAATCAAAAACAAAAACAAAAACAAAAAAACAAGAAACACAATTTCCTAGGGACTCCAAATTTAACTAGAGTTTCCCTACATCATCACTTTAGCCCATTTGCTGGATTCAATAACTCTATTACTATAAAAAGATAGATCTCTAATATTGAAACGACAGAGATTGTGGTAAATTGTTACAGCAGGAATAGAAAGATAATACTAGGTTCTTTTCTGCATTTTTTGTTTGTTACAGCAGGAATAGAAAGATAATACTAGGTTCTTTTCTGCATTTTTGTATGTATGTTTTTCATGCTGAAAGACAGAAGAGACATTGAAACCATAATATGCTGGACTCTGCAAATGCTTTCATGTGTGTCCAGTCTCTCAGGCAGAAGGGGGAAGTGTGCAGTTCCAGGTCTGTGTGTGGTGCAAGCAGCTGGTGAGACTCTCAGAGGAGGTTTTTGTTGGAGGCTGAAGAACTGTGGGAGGATAACTGTGATGCTGCATACAGTAATAATGTGCCATGTCTTCAGCCTGGACACTGCTGATGGTGAGAGTGAAATCAGTCTGAGATCCACTGCCTATGAAGCGATCAGGGACCCCAGTTAACCGGGTGGATGCCCAGGAGATCAGCTGCTTAGGAGACTGCCCTGGTTTCTGCTGGAACCAGGCTAAGTGGTTCTTCTTGGTATTACTGCCAAACAGATTCTGGCTGGCCTTACAGTTGATGGAAATCCTCTCTTTTGCTGACACAGACACTGATGATGGAGACTGGGTCATCATGATGTCCCCACAGATACCTGCAATCATGAAAGGAGAATGAACATACAAAGATGTACAAAGACAAATTGTGACA